GGTTCTTATCATGAAGCCAAAAAGTTGCAAAGTGCTATTACTGCCATTTTGGTTGAGGGGCTGAGGACATTGCTCAGTCAGTACAAGGCTTAGCTAGCATTCGTGAAGCCCTGGGTTAACTCGGGAACCAGACATGGTGGGCATCCCCCGACCCCCAGCACTCAGAAGGTAGAAGCAAGAGGATCAGAAATTAAAGTCATCCTTGGCTACATAAACAGTCTAGGCTACGTGAGACCCGGTCTCAGAAAGAATGAGCGAGGGAGATGGAGATGGCCTTTTGTGGCAGGGCCCTAAACCTCTGTTCACAGCAAGGATGTGAGCTCCCAGCCCAGCTCTTGGCTAGCTGCCACCTCTTTGGACCATCTTCTTCCCTGCTCAAGCTTCCTCTCCATCTGCAAGATGAAGGAGTTGGGTCTCCAGGCAAGCTCTGAATTCATCTCTTCCAGAGGCTGCTATCCCTTGAGCTGGGGCCTGATAGCTCAATGAAAAAGGATAAAGGAGATGAAAGAGTTCCACACCAATGATATTGAGACTGGGAAATGCCCGACCTAGGTGCTCCCCAGACTAGGGGTTCTAAGTCCCAAAGGTCACGTGGCCAGGGGAGCCACGAGTCACCAACGAGTGGTCATAATCACTGCTGTTGCATGCGTATCTCTGGGTCCGTAAGGGAGGTCCTGCACCCTCCTCAGATAGAAGAATTCACAGGTACTTGACATGAGTGATGGCTGCGTTGCATATGACCCATACACAGCCCGCTGGAGTTTTACTCATCTTCAGAGTATGTGTACTACCATGGGAGTGCTATGTAACTAGCTGTCTTGTTGTTGGATTAATGTTGTTAAGGGGTCAAGGGAATGTACTGTATAATGGCCAGACAAGTGGTGCTTGCCTGTGCTCCAGCTCTCAGGAGACTGAGGCAGAGGGATTGCTTGTTTGAGCCCAGAAATTCAAGGCCCCAGTTGGGTAACACAGTAAATCCTATCTTGAACAAACAAATATCCTGATTTGAGCATGCTGAGGTCAGAAATAACACTAGTACTGTGTGTGTTCGAATGTTGTGGTTTCTGTTATTCGGCTGTGTGTGCATGTATGTGTAGGTTGAGTACGCATGCGCATGTCTGTCCGTGGATCCGCCCTCTGTTTCCTACGCATGCGCGTGTCTGTCTGTGGCTCTGATCTCTGTTCCCTCCTCTACCACTTTCCACTTTGCTTCCTGACAGGGTTTCTCACTGAACCTGGAGCTCACTGCTTAGTTAGATCGTGAGCCTTGAGATCCTCCTGTCTCTGTCTCCTATTATTGAGATTAGAAACACATAAGGCATGCCAAGGTTTTCGTGTGGGCACCAGGGATTTGAACTCAGGTCCTCGTGCTTGTGTGGCAAGCGCTTTACCACACTGAGCCATCTCCCCAGAACTCTTTTCTTGTTTTTAAATTTAAAAAAAAAAAACTATTATTTGTGGGTAGAGAGATAGAGAGGTGGGTGAGGGTGGGCACAGAGAGAGAGAGAGAGAGATTGAGGGTGGCCATGATCTTGCTGACTTCAGAGGACTATGCTTAGGAATTGGTTCTCTTCTACTGTGGGTTCAGGAACAGAACCCAGGCCAGCAGTTTTGAGAGGCGAGCTCCTCTAGGCCATCTCTCCAGCCCCCCTTTTTCTGTTAAAACAGAGCTTTAATATGTATTCCAGGCTGACCTTAACTCTGGGTCTTCTTTGCCTTCAGTGTCCACTGCATGTGGCTCAGACACATTTTTCCCCCTAATATTTTCCATCCTAAGCGTCAGGTCTTGGATATAGAACCTGTGGGTCTGGAGGGCTGACTGACATCCTGGTCAAGTACTGACCACAGCCACCTTTCCGTGGGAAGGATCTACCCCATTAATCTGATTCAGGAACAGAACTGAGAAAAGCAGTATCTGAGATGACAGAGATGCTTGACCCACATATGTCAGACTCCGTGATCTATAGAGGCAATGAGCAGGAACAGTTAAGTGACAGCGTGATCTTGCTTGTCACCAAGACAACTACAAATCCACGGGTGAGGCCCATTTTACAGACACTAGATTCAAAATCGCTTGTCCCGACTCTGGATTGTTAGGGCGCACAGGTATGACCCATGTAGGCCAAGGAGGGCTGCCGTGAGGGTACTGCTCGGAGTCAGCTGAAGGTGGAGGGAATTATGAATGAGACGGTTACACAGTTTATGGTCCATGAATGGGTAGGTTACAGTGTGTGAGTCGTGACCGGGTGGGACATGGGTGTGGAGCCTGCAACATGCCATGTGTGCCATGGTTTGTGTGCCTGTAGCTCTTCCGATGCAAGCTCTCTTTTCCTCTTGATAGCTCTGTCTATATGTGATGTGTCCTGGCCAACCCTAGTTCATCACAGACTGTATTTAGTGGAATCTACATTGTCACCCATAAAAAGACCCATTGGGTGGCTGCTCCAATAAAACTCTGACTGGCTAACGATCACAGTCTGCTTGGGGACTGGAGGGACTGTGTCTTTTCCGAGGGAGTGAGCTGCATATAGAACAGATATGCTGAATGCTGTGGAGTGGCTGTGGGTGGCTTGTCATGTGCCTTCCCTTTCCCAGCCCTTCTCCCAGGATCACTGGGACAAGATGTTGCTAAGTGAAGCCAGAAAGGGCCTGAAAGGGTCAGAAGTCATCTTCAGACCTTTCGGGGATCTTAAGGTGTGGGCTGCAAGCTCCAATCTGTCCTCTCCCTTCAACCAAGAAACAAAGGATGAGTCTAGGCTCTTCCCCCACTATAATGAAAGTTTCCCAGAGAAGAAACGTGAACCACAAATCCACTTGAAGAGTGATAGAAATTGTTTTTAATCATGTATGAGCGTCCTTGATAGAAGCAGGGCATGCCAGGTCAAACTGAGATCAGCAAGCTTGCAAGGCAAAGACCTGTTGAGCCATCCTGTGAGACCCAGAGAGAGTTTCTAAACCCTGTGCACTTGCCCCTGAGTCTAATATCTTTCTTTCCCACAATTGGCTTCACGTTGTCTTCCACCATCTTGTCTCTAGGGACAGGTTGGACGGGGCATAATAAGGCTGAGGAGTACAGAAAGAGGGCTTTGATGGTATCGCTATGGTGTTAAGGCACATCCACACATCCATTCACTCATTCATTTGCTCATTCATTCACTCATTCATTCATTCACGGATCCATTCATTCACTCGCACATTCATTCACTTGCTCATTCATTCATTCACTCATTCATTCATTCACTTGATCAGTCATTCATTCATTCAGTCACTCATTCATTCATTCATTCATTCATTCAGTCAGTCAGTCAGTCACTCATTCCCTCTTTTACATACTCATGAGTTTCAGTCATTCACTCAGTAATACACCTGGCCTCCTAGTCACACACTTTTCTGGTTCATTCACTCAATCCAAAGCAGTCTCTGTTTCTCACTCTTTCTCTGTGTTGTTACAATGGACTCTGAATTGCTCGTTCGACTAGCTGAGCAAGACAGGCCCTGAAGCTTCCTCAGATCCTGCCCTCATACTTGGCCTTCTGTGACTCTCTTTTCCCAACTAGTGGGAGTCTCAAAAGTGTCAGCAAAGAAGGATCCGGAGGGGGATGTCACAAGGGGACAGGTGCTCCTGGTCCAGAGTCAAACCTCATGAGGGATGTAGACAATGAAATTAACATTTAAACTAAAGGGGTCTTAAAGGTTAAAAAAGGTGAGGGTGGGGCTGAGAGACGGCAGCGTTAAGAACACTGGCTGCTCTTCCAGAGGACCAGAGTTTAATTCCCAGCACCCACATGGCAATTCACAACCATCTGTAACTCCAGCTCCAGGGGATCCAATGCCTTCTTCTGGCCTCCATAGGCACCAGGCATGCATGTGGTACACAGACATGCATGCAAGCAAAACACTCATACAGGTAGTGTATTTTTAACCTAAAAAAAACCCAGAACACCTTAAAAAGAATGGAATGAGTGTTGAGCCATGCAGAGAACCCCACCCCAAAGGGAAGAGGCAGACAGAAAGAAACAGGAAGGCAAAATGGATGGGGAACCCCAAAATGAGAAGAGGAATTAGCTGGGCATGGTGGCACATTCCTGTTAGTTCCTGCTCTTGGAAGGCTGAGGCTGGAGTGTGAAGAATTTGAGCCCAGCCTGGGCTACATAGCAGAACAAGAATGATGGTTTGGGAACGAGGCATTAGCAGCACACCTTGACAGTTATTTTTATATCTTATGCATTACCCAAACTACCTTTTCAGATTGTCCCATACCGTCTATGAGATGGAAACTGAGGCTTGGAAGGAGAATCATTTACTCAGAGTCACCATAACAGGTGGCAGGTGTCTGAGCGTAAGCCCAGGTCTATGGGCTACAGAGCTTGTCTGTGCTTGTCGTGGGAAGGGTGGGTGCCGTGGAAGCATTCAGTGTGACAGGTGTCACATCCATGGTGTCTGATCCAGCTGGAGCTATCAGGGACCAGGGAAGGGACCTGAAGGCGAGTCCCAGTGGTTCCTAAGACAGGTGACAAACAGAAGGGAACCAGAAGAATCCTCTTCAGAAGGATCCGAAAGATCCAAGTGTGAGCTTGGGGTTTAGGTTTCCAGTTCAAGCGACCCAGGACAGCTTTATCTCGAATTGAGGATAGAAGTCAATGATTTGGGAAGTGGTTGGCTTAGAGCTTCATTGGTAGTAGACTTGTCAGTGTCTAAGCATGTCAGCTGGGATGTCCAACTTGGCCGGACTTGGGGGCTGCTGAGGCGACGGTCCAACAAAGGCCAGTCCTGCCCCGCCTTGGAAGATTGGTAACTGAATATTAATGAGCGGGGGCCCAACAGTTGTAATTAGCACCCCAGGTGTCAGTCAGAAACCAACAAACAGCCAAATCCTTGTGGCTCCGCCCAGCCTACCCAGCAACGGGGGTGATTAACCATTAACTCCCACCCCTCCCCACAGAGCCTCCACCCTCTGCAGAGGCTAGGCCAGGACGCCAGGCTGAGTCTCCCAGAGGACAGTTTGAAACAGAGGAAGGCAGAGAAGGGACCTGGGAGGAGGCAGAAGGAGGGCGGGGACGGGGGGCTGGGGCTCAGCCCAGGGGCTTGGGTGCATCCTGGGCAGGGCAGGACAGGGGGCTGAGGTGTGGGTAGGAGAGAATGCGACTCTCTAAAACCCTCGCCGACATGGATATGGCTGACTACAGTGCTGCTCTGGATCCAGCCTACACCACCCTGGAGTTTGAAAATGTGCAGGTGTTGACCATGGGCAATGGTAGGTGGGGGCAGTTGTGCCCAGGGATGGAGTGGATCTTTGGCACTGGACTTTGGGATGGGAGGGGAAATACCGAAAATTGTAGGTTGGTCCTATAGGCTTGTACAGGTGTTGCCAGGTAAAGCAAGTGGGCCTTCCTACTGTGGCCAGAGGCATTCTGGGTGATCGAGGCCTGCAGAGGTGGATTTCCAACAGAAAAATTCCCCAGATCCTCCCTATGTAGGCCCGGGGACTTACGCTGCCCTGCTTACCATGTTAAGGAAATGGGGCCATGATGGTGAGCTTCCTCTGGGTGGCTGTAGAAATCCTATCCAACATGGCCCTATTTTCAGGCCCCTGGGCCCTTTTATGTGCAAGCAACAAAAGGTCTGTCTTGTCTCTAGAGATTGTGACAGGAGGCATGGCTACGTTTCAGACTTTGGGAAGCTGGAGTTCAGGAGAAAAGTAGAATTTTCGGGCTTCCTATCCAAAAGGCCAGCCCAGCGGCGTGCGTTTATATGTACTGTCTTAGGTGTCCTTGTGAGTGTACAAGTGACATGGTGAACGCAAGAATACACCTGCGTGTCTGTTCCCCCTTTTGAGTTTGTGTCTCAGCTTCATCTGTATGTGTTGAACGGTGTGTAGTTCTGTCTCCAGGACCATTTGGGTTTTGGGTTTGTTTTGGTTTTGTTTGTTTGTTTGTTTGTTTTGTTTGGCTTGAATATATGTGTGTATGAATAGTGTCTGTAAATGTGGGTGACAGACCTAACACACTTGTAAATGTGGACATACCCTGTGCTTTCTGCTTGGTGGCCCTGGATGGCATCTTGCCTTTGTACATATGCATACGGCCTCTGTGCTACCGGATAATGCTCTCTGGTGTACAAGATTGTGTAGCGACACTTGACAGGGTTTGTTGTTGTTGTCTGTTTGTTTGTTTTATTTTTTTGAGACAGGGTCTCTACATAGCTCTAGCTGTCCTAAAGCTCACTATATAGACCAGGCTATCCTCAAACTCACAGGGTTCCACCTGCCTCTGCCTCCCAAATGCTGAGATTAAAGATTGTGCCCGGCAGACCCAGCTTGATTTCGTTTGTTTGTTTGTTTGTTTGTTGTTGTTGATACAGAGTGTATGTGTTCCTGAACTGGCCTGAAACTTAGAACATATTCCCAGGCTAGCCTGGAACTTGGAGTCCTCTGATGTAGCCTCCCAAAATACCAGGGCTACATTATGAAGGTCTTAACTGTTAACTATATACCAAAACTTGGGATTCACGGCAGCAGCATGTGTGTCTGTGTTTCTGTTGTCCCTGTATCACCATCGTTCAAACATCTGCTCCAATATCAACGAGAATATGTATGTGGGTGGAGAGTGTTCTCTTTGCCAGAGGGTTGAGAAAGCAGGCATCCTGGAGGATGGGAAGCTTCTGGAAAAGACGGGACCAGGTTCCAGGCTAGCATTGGAGAGACGGCACCTGGCTGAGGTTGGTCTGTCACCACCTTCCATCCGTGACTCTTATTGTGCAGCAGCTTTCAAACTTCAAGGCTTAGGTCTGGAAAGCTGTGTGTGCTCTCGAGCTCGCTAGAAGGAGGAGGCAATGTGTGGGCTCTGTCCATGGTCAGTCCCCCCTCTCCCCACCCCCTCCCCACTCCTGCTGCTTGCCTCTAGTATCTCTTGCCAAGTACTGTGTGTCCTCAGGTACATTACCCCCTTCTGTCTCTTGTGTAGTATGGAAATGAGTTCCTTTACCCCAGCCTTGTTGACCATGGGTGATTCAGAGGAGGCACTCAGGGAAGTGTTCAGGGCGAACTAGTTGCTTCTGCCCCGAGATGGTAGCATGTGACTCCCACAGGGACAATATTTGCAGTCACACTCCTGGCCACCACACAGCCCCTTCAGTATCTAAGAGTTCTGTGCTCCTGTGCCTGCAGCTAAGCCCTTGGTTAAGTGTCCCGAAGACATACCAGTCACCCCTCAGCTCTGGAAAAACTCTTCCTCCCCAGCCTCAGTTTCTTCATCTGTAAAACTCAGACAGGTAAAAGAGCATAAAAGGTTTACGAGGTATTTCTTTGAGCTTGTTTCATCCTGGTCCCTACATGGGTAGTCTCTAGGACTATATGTCGGAAGGATCTGTATGCCCTTCTCAAGTTCTGAGAGTTGAGGTTACAGGAGGTTGTCCTCCAAAGTGGTTGGAGTCTATCCTGAGCTAATGGCTAGAAGGTGTTAAGGATATCTGTTCCCACATTCCATCCCTGATTCAGGAACAGCAGAAGGGTCTTGTTTTTAAAGTCCCCACAGATTCCCAGCCATGGGCAACATGGCTAAGAGCACAGTATAGTAACCCAGCCCCTCTGCCTGGCAGCAGTGTAATGATTCCGAACAAGTCCTTTGCTCTCTTTGAGCCTCAGTGTTCTTAACTGGGAAATAGAAGTGGCCTGCTGACCTCAGGGGGAGATGATCCAGTTGACTGTGCCCAGCCCATGCTGCCCAGCAAGGGGACACCTTGCCAGCCTCTGCCCAAGTTGCGGGCTCAGCTCTCCCTGGGGGTCATGGGAGGAAAGGATGAGGGAGAAGGAGTCAATGAAGCTTAACAATTATCCCTGCCTTGGGAATAATTCACTAGCCGGAGGAGGCTCTGCTCTGAACACTCAGAAGTCCTAGGAACGAACGGTTCGGCCAGAAGACAGCAGAAATGAGGAACAACTGCAAGACACCTGCCGGGCAAGTTCTCTTCTGCAGAGAAGTGTGTTTAACTCACAGACAGTTCTAGAACGTATTGTATGGCAAGCACTTCCGGCTGACTGACTCACTGACTATGGACAGCACCGGGAGATGATGATGCTCTGTCTGACAAGTGGAGGGGGACAACGACAAGAAATAACCCAGTGCCACAGAACAACGGGGATTTGATCCAATGCTATGAGGCTTCAGAGTCTCCGGTTCAGCATACCACAGCCCTCTTCAGTTTGCAATAGGACATTCCCTTAGGAACCAAGGTCATAGGCCCAAGTTTCTATGGAAATACCCCACTGTGTGTGTGTGTGTGTGTGTGTGTGTGTGTGTGTGTGTGTGTGTGTTGTGCACACGCAAGGACTTTTATTTTGGGAGGAATGATTATAGAGTGAAATCTCTGAAGGATGATTTTTTTCTTTTTCCTTTTTTTCTCTTTCTTTTCTTTCTTTTTTTGATATTAGGTTGAACTTTTCATCCTCCTGCCTTTACTTTCTGGGTGATGAGATTTTCTAAAGAGTTTATATGTGGTGGAAGATTTGCTTTTAGAAAAAGTGCAATCTTTTGATGTGTGCATGTATGTGTGTGTGTGTGTGTGTGTATGTGTGCGTATATATATATATATATATACACACATACACACACACACACACACACACACATATTTCTAAAACCAGCCAAACTAGTTAAACTGATCCCTTCGCAGTAGGGGAGACTGAGGCTAGGAAAAGGGCTGGTCCAAGACCAGAGGTGAGTTATAGGTAGCACCAGTACAAATGCCCAGGACTTTTGGCACACAAGTTGAAGTCTCCTTTGCCAGAGGTTTTGAGTCTGTCTTCCTCACACTCAGATGAGAGATGGCTTCTGGCCTGTGGTGAGAGGGTCCCACATCTGCCCACATGTGGTAACTCTGTCAGCACCCACCCTAGAGGCAAAGAAAGAATGTTCTCTGCGTATATCTTTCCACTCTTTGGGCAGTTCTGTGGAGTCTGAAGGCTAAGCTAGTGTCCCCCTGGTCCAGTTCCAATAACAAAGTAGCTGGGTAGTCACTGTCCCCATAGCTCCTAACTAGGAGTCTGTAGATGACTCTGGTGGTAAAGCTTCCTCTCCTTCCTGGGGAAGCTGAAGCAAGTCCTAGCAGGTGCCCCAGGAGATCAGCAGTACAGTTGGTTCTGGTTTATAGACCGGAAACTGAGACTCCAAAAGCCACCTGACACTGAGGGGAACAGGACAGGGTTGCCCCCAGCTCCAGGTAGCCCATTGTGAGTCTCAGGCTTGTTTTTGGTTTGTTTTACTCTCTCCCCATCCTGGATCCTTATCCACCCTCTTTTGGTGCAGACACATCCCCATCTGAAGGCGCCAACCTCAATTCATCCAATAGCCTGGGTGTCAGTGCCCTGTGCGCCATCTGTGGCGATCGGGCCACCGGCAAACACTACGGAGCCTCGAGCTGTGACGGCTGCAAGGGATTCTTTAGGAGGAGCGTGAGGAAGAACCACATGTACTCCTGCAGGTGAGGAGCCAGCTCGGGCCTTAACTTTCTCAGCTGGGACATGGGTATATTGGGATTCATGTTCTCTGAGTATCCATCTTGAAGCATCTGCCCTTCCAGACGTTCAAGAACAGTCTAGTTTCTTGGCATCTGTGGATCCAGGTGTGAGCAGCTAATTTAGCAACTGCCTAACAACCTTAGAGGGGTTAGGACCACCCCTCCAACCTGCTTTTTTTCTAGGTTCTAACAAGGAAGGCATTGGCCTTAAGTCCTTCCATCTATCCCAGTGCCCCAAGATTATGAAAACCCCTCTTTCTAAAGCATCTCTCATTTTGAATAACAACAGTAAAATACTAGAAGCAGTTGACTGAGCCATTGCCCCATGACAAGCCTGTACTAACTATGTCACTGTCACCTGCCAATGCCCTTCTGACATGATAACAATTATCATCCTCATTTTGTAGATGGGGAAGGTTATGTCTGGGAGGGCTAAGAATTTACCTGCAGCCAACCAACATAGATGAATGCTAAAGTCCTATTGAAAGCCACCCCATCCCCCATAACCTTGCCTTTACCTGCTGTGTACCAACTACTGACTCTAAGCCAAAGCCAGGAGCATGTTAAGGGCTATGGGCTCTCATAGGATATGAAATAGCTGGTACCCCAGAGACTAAGGTTTCCAGTTCAACCAGCTGAGTGGTCAAAGTCACATGCCACCTTCCTGGGCTTCAGTTTCCTATGTCAAGTGGGACAAGATGGACTTTCAGACAGTCCATAGACCCCTCTGGCTTCTGATTAACATAAGCACTCCTGGGGTGTAAACATGGAGCGGGGAGGCTGCGGGGTTGACTGACAGCCAGGTCCTGATTCTGTCCTAAGAGGCAGAGGCTATTTCTCCTCCATCCAACCATCCAATGTCCTCTCTAGGTTTAGCCGGCAGTGCGTGGTAGACAAAGATAAGAGGAACCAGTGTCGTTACTGTAGGCTCAAGAAGTGCTTCCGGGCTGGCATGAAGAAGGAAGGTGAGTCCCAGCCCCCCATCCCCCCACCCATGCCCCACCTGCACGCAGGCTCCAACCAACCCAGCATTTACAACTGTAGCCATACTTTATGGCTCTGTGACAGGCCCTGGGATGACTGGCTAATGGCTGAGAAGAGGGAGGGCCTGGAGATCTGACCACAGGGAGCGGCTGGGCTTGGTCTTGAGAAAGATTCAGAGATAAAGCTCCCACTCACTCACTCCAGCTCCCAGCAACTGCCTCTGGGCCTTCCTGTGCTACCATGAGGCAGCCAAGATGGGTGCTCTTTCTAATGGCTATCGCAAGCATTAGGAAAAACATAGACCACGACACAGCAAACACCCAAGGGCCTGACACCAAGACTTCGCTAATATGAACAGAGGGTCCTATTCTGAGCTTCCTGTCTAAAGACAGGAACCACAACCCCCTTAGTCCTTATTGCTGGGTATCAGGTCATCGCTAGAAATTTCCCCATTCTAAGAGTGGGCTGAGGCGTCTAATCCAGTCTGGATGGTGGATATGGAATTACCTAGTACAGTGTCCTCTAAATCTTCCTCGGCCAACTCCTGCATCAGACATGGAGCTGCATCTTCCCTGTGTCGCCGGTCATTTCATTCCCGTGGTCACTCTGAGAGGCTGGAATGAATACTGTCACCCTCTCATGGCAGAAGCAACTGAGGGACCGAATTGGCTAGTCACCTTGCCAAAGTCTCCATCCATGGCAGTTACTGAAAGGGCAGATGTCTCAACTCCAGCTTCATGCTGTGTGGACACCTCGGTGCTGCCTACCCTGTGCCCTCCAGGCCTCGTGTATTTATGACAGTTTTTAGCGACCAGAGCCAGAGCATGGTAGTAGAGCCATTGCCTGGCAAACATGCAGGGCCCTGGGCCACTCCCAGCCTATGGAGAAAATAAAAAAGAAAGAAAGAAAGAGGAAAAAAAGAAAGAAGGAGAGAGAGAGAGAGAGAGAGAGAGAGAGAGAGAGAGAATTTTTTCTCAAGCTCAGAATTAAAACAAAAATCTTTAAACTTTTTTTTTCTAAATAACTTGAGTTCATTTTCAAACCTCTTCCCTTCCTTCTCTCAACTTACTTTCCCCAACTAACGTGTTCTTCCGGCCCACACTGTTCTTCTCTGGCCAGACTGTCAGACACACACACAGGCACAAGCACACATATAAGTTCCCCCCCCCCCCCTATCTATGAATCAAGAATCTGGGATCTAGCTCCTGCTGGGTTGAGAGAGACAGAAGGCAAGCTAAAGATGACCGCCCCTGCTCAGTCTCTGCCCTCCATCCTGTCATCATTCTTCCTTCCTGTCCCTCAGAAGGGTCCTTTCATATCCTCAGTGCAAGTTGGGGAGTTTTGTTGGAAAATTAGAGCCCAAGGATTCTACTCCACACACATCCCATTCTAGCGGGCCTTTGCTTCTCTGACATGTCCCCCTCCGCCTTCCCCTGCTGCTTCCCGTGGGCACACGGCTCCCTGGCTAACCTTGTCTTCTCTTTGAGGGCTGCTCTGTGGAAGGGGAACGTGTTACACATGTGAATATTGGAGACAAGATGAAGGACTCCCGCCTAAGGGCTTCCTGTTGTAGAGTTCTAACAGCCGGTGGCTCTGCTTTCCAGTTCCCTGGGATAATAAGCACTCTGTGATTAGCCATAAGCATTGTGTTTGAGAATGAGTCTCTCCTACAGAATTTTCAGCAGGTGGGAGAAAAGCAGGCAGTCCAACGGGGCTAGCTAGTAAGTCTGCATGTGGTCATGTGTCTTTGGTTAAACAGAGTTTCTAGAGGAAAACTGAGGGAGGCTTCCAGCCCCTCTGGGCTCTTCTTTTCCAGATGATCCACAAAACCAAGCAACGATAGATCCTAGCTCCTGAGAGAAGTCCTAACCCATCCAGCCATATGTCAGCCTTGAAAAGAACTGCTTGCTTCTTTGGGCTGAGAAATAAACCTTCTGCCAGGGAAACAGGACAGCTACTGAGTCACTGGCAGACAGTGCTGGCCAGTAAACACGTGTGTGTGTGTGTGTGTGTGTGTGTGTGTGTGTGTGTGTGTATCACGTGTGCATTATTGAGAGACTGTGAGGTACAAGTAGACCAGGAGAGCAAAGCATTCTGGGGGATGCCTTGGGCAAGCACTAGCAAGGCTGTTGCTAGATCTGGCTGTCCCCAAAACCCTTCCTCAGCTTGATGGAAAAAATCCCAAAGCCACTGACCGGGTGACTGGGGACTTGTTTTCATTTATTTTCCTGTCAATGTCTCCTGCACATGGACTTAACGGACTGGACGTCCTAAAGTTCCCAAGGACCAGAAAGTGAGCTGGAAGCAAAGTTTACAGAGCAGCTAAGGCTAGTAAAGGAAGATCTTCCTGGGTCTCAGGTGGGGAAACTGAGGCACGAGAAGCGATGAGATGTGTTGGGAGAGAGTGAAGTTTAGGACATGAGACTGTCAGAACTAAGCCTTCAAGCTCTCTGGACTGACATTTGGAAAGATCCTTGTGGGTTGGCACATTCTGTTCTTGGTTCTGAAGTGTCTGGCACAGCATTGGAGAGCTCACGGGTCCATGAGTCCTAGACAAAGGATGTACCACAGAGGCCACAAGGGGCTTCCCTGGAGGAGGCAGACTGGGAGTGGGGGAGTCTTGGGTGTTAGCAAGCTAGAAAACAGCTGATGGAAAATTCTGTCCTGTGACTGAAGTCAGAGAGAGGGACACCTGCCCAGCCTTGGCTCCCAAGCCCAGGACAAAAGCCCAGCTCTGGGCAGCAGAAAGCCAGGCCAGAGACCACAACCAAGAAGTACAGGAGGAGCATGGCCCACCCTGTAGGACCTTCCTCACAAGCCCAGCTGAGCCACTAGGGCCCACCCAGGGCTCTCTAGGAAGACGGGCTCATGTCCTCTCCACCTCTGTCCTGTCGGTTAATATTCAATGGAAGTTACATTAGGTCCCCGACCCTGCTAATACTGCGCAAACATTAGGAAAACATCATTCCGTGACTGAGCTCGAGGGTGCTGATAAGGGCCGGCTAACCTTGAGGATCTCTATCCACAGCTGCTGACAGCGGTCTTTTATTCCGCCCGCCTCCCTGCGGAGCCCAGTGGGGGCAGGCGACAGGGCAGGCTGGGCTGCCAGGAAGGGTGTGGTAGGCTGGTACAACCAGTGCAGTGGAGGGACTTCTACACCTCAGGGTCTCTGTCCTACCCGGACTGACTTTTCTGTCTCTGGGTTTTTGAGACAAGATCTTACCTTTTTTCCCCCCTAGATTTAGTATTATTAATTATCATTATTGGGCTGTGTGTGTGTGTGTGTGGTGTGTGTGTGTGTGTGCAGGCACACTCAGAAAGCAGAAGAGGGCATTAGAGCTCCTGGAGCTGGAGTTATAGGTGGCTGTGAGCTGTGACGTGGGTGCTGGGAACCAAGCTCTCATGCTCTAACGTAAGAGTGGTACCGTCCTCTCATCAGCCGAGCCATCCCTCCAGGCTCTGGGATGTGTCATCCAAGCTGCCATTGCCCCGGCCTCCCGAACTCTGGGATTGCACACACAAACCAGCATGTCCGACTCTAGAGTTCAACATTCTGAAATTAAGGATAAACTGGAGGGTGGGAGGGAGTGGACCTCATAGTTGTGTGCTTTCTCATCCAGTGATATCTGTCATTCTACAAGTATTTACTGCGTACCTACTGTGTGTCGGGGTGTACTGTAGGAGTCAGACTGACAGTCAATAAGAGGGAGGAAGGTCTGGCTTTTTTGGAGCTTAGGAGCTAGGTAACAAAGAATTCACTATAACTGATACCTTGGAGAAGTTTAAAATAGGAAAAAGAGGGCAGAAGCTGGGGCGCAATACCGTGTCAGAGGTGGTTGCAAACGCACCTGAGGTGACAGTTTTTAAAAAGATTTGCTTTGTATTTAATTGTGTGTATACACACACACACACACACACACACACACACACACACACGAGTGAATGCAGGCACCGGCAGAGCAATTGTGAGCGACTTGATATGAATTCTGGGAACCGAACTCAGGTCTTCCACAAAAATAGAACGTGCTCTTAACCACTGAACCATTTCTCCAACCCCTGAAGGTAAAAGAAAGGGATCCCAGGGATCAGGAATGGCTGAGATGGCCCTGAGCACATGTGTGGCCTGTGTGGATATCCAGATATAAAGGCAGGTGTGGGGACAAATGAGTGACAGGGAAATAGTGACAGGGAGATAATGGTGGGGCTGGTGGTGGGGGTGGGAGAATGAGGGCAGGGCTAGTGACAGGGAGGTGGGGACAGGGTAGACTCCTAAGGACTGTGATGATTGAGGAGACAGCCATTCTGAGCAAAACATGATGTGTGACCTGGATGTCTTTAGGGGGATTCCGAGAGCAGCTCACCTCCAAAGGGTAAATGCAGGCGCCTTGGATCTCAAGATCTTTAGAAGGGCCTGGTCCCGCCCCAGGGAGAGTAGTGGAGCCTTCAGGGGCAGAGCAGGGTCTCCTGCGTGATGCCACAGCAGTCCTCGTGAGCCAGGGACAGTCTGTGTCTGTGTACAGGGAAGACGCTGCCCACCAGCCCCTAAGATAGCAGACACGGCAGGAGCAGGCTGACGGGAAGAGGCCTTGGATAGATGGGGAAACAGAGGTCCCACCCTCCTTCTTTCTTCCATAGTGAGGCCCTTAGACTCCAGGGGACCGGTGGTACAGCGAGAAGACCTTAAGCCCATACTGACCCTGCTTAGGGTGGATGGTGGGCCAGAGGCCTGTGAAACAAGGCCGTAGGTTCCTGAATTCTGGAGAGTTCCTGGTGAGGCAGGAAAGAGACTGCTTCCTCTCATTCACTCAGGCTAGAGAGCAGCGTTCTTTCCAGCAGTCAGATCACTGAAACAGACAGGCCTCCATGTCCAACCTAAGACTTCTGCCTGGTGCTTCAGGGTCATTCTGTATCAGGGGACGAGGTCTGCTTATTTGGAAGGGAAGAGACCAGCGGGCTTGCGAGCAGGGATCGTGGGTTGGGATGGCAACAGATTCCCTCTGTGCTACTCAGGCTGTGGTCTGTCCACTGAGCTGTCAGTAACCTGTCCCTAGCGATGGCTGGTCATTTCCTCAGCCTTCTCGTCGTATATGAGGCCGGGGGAAGTTTTCGAATGTGCCGTCTTTGCAAACTGAGTTAGAAGAGCCTGCATGTGACAGGCAATGTGACTCAGTGAAGCATGGGCCACCAAGCCTGATAACACACGCACCATGGCACATGTATGTTGAAACACATGCACGCATACATGCGCATGCACACACACACACACACACACACACACACACACACAGAGTAAACACCCCCCTGCAGCACTCTGGTGGCCCCAGGCCAGGTTGAACCCTCTCCTCTCACATCTCTTAACTCCGTAACAGTCATGGGACATCCTCCCTCCGCTCAGCGGTTCTCCTTACCTCTCTCCACCTCTTCCTCATAGCCGTCCAAAATGAACGGGACCGGATCAGCACGCGGCGGTCAAGCTATGAGGACAGCAGCCTGCCCTCCATTAACGCGCTCCTGCAGGCGGAGGTCCTGTCCCAGCAGGTACCAAGGAATTCTCTACCCAGGCTCCCTTCCAGTGGAAACTTTCTTCTACTTCTGTCTCCTCTAACCAGACCCTGCAGGCCCACATGGACAGGTCCCCAAGCACCACAGAAGGAAAACCAAACCCAATGCCACACACTGGTGTGTGGCAGATCAAACTCAAACCTAGGTCTGGCGTCTTGGGGCACTGTCTAGTTCATCCCAACGCCTGTGTTCATAGGCCACACAAACTGCTTTCCTGGAGGGCTCAAGAGCAGTCCTACCAAATAGAAGTAACCATTGCAACAAGATGGCAAATGGTCTCAGCCAACCCCTGGCTGTGTGACCTCAGGCAAGTCACAGTGCTTCTCTGGGCATAGATGAGATGAGGGTGATGCCCCGGTCCTCTTCTACCGCCAAGGGATTCCTGGGACTCAGGAGCTGGAAGAGCTGGGTCGGGGCAGGCAGCGAGTGGTGCTCCAAACGGAGTGCTCCCTGCTTATGAATCCTTCCTGTCCCTTTGCTTCAAACTTCCTACTGACCTGTCACTACACAGTCTACCGGCCACTAGACAGTCCTCCTGGGGTAAGGGACAGGAAGTGCAGGGAAAACCCGCCATCCCCAGCATTTCCTTGTCCCCCACAGATCACCTCCCCCATCTCTGGGATCAATGGCGACATTCGGGCAAAGAAGATTGCCAACATCACAGATGTGTGTGAGTCTATGAAAGAGCAGCTGTTGGTCCTGGTTGAGTGGGCCAAGTACATCCCAGCCTTCTGCGAGCTTCTTCTGGATGACCAGGTAAATGCACACATGCTGAGAGCAATGGTGTACACTGGGCCATCAGGATCCAACTGAGCCCCGAAGGATATAGCCTTGAGCTGGTTTGATTTTATTCAATGGAACACTCACGTGTGCCCAGAAATGCATAAGTCGCTCTACAAATATTAACTCAATCCCCCTAAGGACTTCGAGGTAGCAATGTTTCCCATCTTCCAGGTGAGGAAACTGGGGCACAGAGAGGTTAAGTAAATTACTCAAGGTCACACAGCCAGCAACCATCATAACAGGAATTAGGACCAGTCAGGGAAGCTCCAAAGTTCAGACTCCACATCATTCTGCTCTCCTGGAGGTGTTGACAGGGACCTGAGGCCAGGGCTCAGGAGATTTGGCTTGAGCTCTGGTTTTGAGACCAGTTCCCTGTGTGACTTGGGGCAAATTACTTCTCTCCAAGGCCCAGTGTTCTTATCTGTCGAGTGGGAGTTTATCTCTTCCGAGTGCTGTGTTTGTTTGGAAAGTCTGGATGGACCAACAGCGTGTCAGCTGGGCCTCCGCTGTCCTCCCCAGCGCTAAGTCTCGTGCTCCCCTCCCCCCAGGATGGTTTAAGTCAGCATTTTATATTTCAAGGCACCTTCTCTGGACTATTGAAACGGGTTCATGGAGGGGAAGGGTGGGGGTAGGCAGCACTGTGAGTCTTTGGATGGATAAGTTCCTGAAATGTCTCATATAATGGCTACACACACACACACACACACACACACCTTGGCCTCCCCAGACAACTTCACTGCTTCGGGAAAAGAGAGAGATTGCCTTCCCAACTTTGAAAACACCCACTCTTTGAACATGAGTCTGATGTTGCCTTGTCTTGTTTCTTATTTTGTCGGGGATTGTTGTTTTGAAATGAGGCCTCACTATGTAGCCTTGGCTGTCCTGGAACTCACTCTGTAGACCAGGCTGTCCATAAACTCACAGAGATCTGCCTGCCTCTGCCTCCTGAGCCCTGAGACCTAAGGTGTGTGCCACCACACCTGGCTGCATACAGTCTCTTAAAGCCTCAGAGAAGTCTCTCAGCCCCACCGTTGCTCCTCTGTACAGAAGCCAGGCCTTCCTAGCCTCTACAAACACCTATAAGAAAGCCATGGGCCCTCTAGGTCAACACTGCCTTGGTTGTTCCTTGCCTCTCTGAGTCTGGACCCTGGATGCAGCTCTCCTTTGGAGAGCTGATAGTCAGGGATTGTGTCCAAGCTTTCCCTGCCTTCACCCACTCCTCCTCATGCTTCAGCCCCTGTCCCTCTGCTAGAGAGTCTGAATTAATGTTTAATCCCCCTGTTCCTTCCCAGGAACTTAGCAGGACAACAAGATACCCCCAAGCTGAGCAATTGTTAACCTCTGTTTCCCACCCAAACCTCCCTGGCTGGGTCTCAGAGCATTCTCTGAGGGCAGTGATGGGTAGCCAGTAACATGGGCCAATCATTAACGCCCCCTTGCCTGCCCATACCCCAAAGCTGCCATGTCTGAGGGTTGGATCTGGGAGCCTCTTCATGGTACATAAGGAGCCCATCTTGCTTAGCATGGATGAGGCCACCTGGGAGATTTGGGGACATGGCCTTCCAAAGGATCCACAATTCCATTGCTCTAGAGACCATCTTCTTGTTATACTAGGTAGCCGTCTCCTGGCTTTAGGAGGCCAGATCTGAACTGGACAAGGCCTAGAGAGACAAAGTGATTGGCCTAAAGCCCAGAGCACATGGGCTACCAGGCTGAGATTTGACTTGGTCCTCTGTTCTGCAGGCCGAGAGAACACAGAAACTACTGGGCAGCATGTACTCAGTGGTTAGCGACTTCTGTATCCCTTCTTATTAACAGAAAACAGTCTCACCTCCAAGCTTTCCCATCCCCTTTTGTCTTTGGTTTCTCTCGTGGGTTCCAGCCATGGTGGAGTGGAAAGGGGTCGTAATGAGTGGGCTCAGGAGGAAGTGGATCTGGTGGAAGTCAGGGTGCTGCCTCAGTCGTCTGTCACTGCCCCAGCCATCCTTTCCTTTCCCCATTCTTTACTTCGAATGTTTCAATAAAGGTCTGTGCGTTCCTGTGTTCTGAGGATCCTCGGAGCTGCACAGCAAGTCACAGCTTTAGAGAGTCTCACGCTGAGTTCCATCAATGCAGCCTCTCTGTCTCACTGCTCTGTGTACCCACTCCCTCTCTTTTCTTCCCTCTTTTCCCCCTTCTTCCCATTGCAGCCCCCCCCAATCCTAGTTTATCATTCCCTTCTCCTCGATCTCAAAACCTGGCAGTTCTACAAGCTCAGAGACTGTTGTGTCCCCGCACTGTCTCATAGAGCGTCTAGGAAGAATGCTGAGATTGTTCAGCTGGGAAAGGTGCTTGCTGCCAAGGCTGATTCCCAGAACTCACAGTGTGGAAGGAGAGAATCACTATTCTCTGACCTACACACACACACACACACACACACACACACATATTTTTTTTAAAAGAGCACACAGAAGCACCTTACTCTCCCAGCATGCCTTGCTACCTGTGACCTCCTATGGAGCACACAGATCCCCAGGGGCACCATCCTGCTGCTATTCTCTGGTTATCACACAAGGACTAAGGCTAATGGCTCTAATGCACAGGCGATGTCCCACAAGGCAGCTGGACTTGACCTTGAACTTTAGTCTCTACACATTGCCACGCAAAGATGGAACCTGGCAACGGATCACCTGCCAATCCTGTACTTGGCATGAACACATCTAAGAACTGACATCCACATGGAAGCTCATGTAAATTCTTTGAGAATTGCAGAATCTTACAGGCTCTGTGGATATCTTCAGCACTGGTGACTTCCCAAACTCAGTGGAGCTATGGGACCAACTGGGAAGCTTGTTGCCTTTGTACCCCAGGTCTGCCTAATACATACAGAGTCAGAGCCGCTGGGGGTTGAGCCCACGACTATGAGTTTCCCTAAAGCACCCTTCACAGTTCCCTGAAGCTGATACACTGGTAGAAACTTGGGACCCACAGCTTTAGAATATCTGGGGCAAGTTGACTTTATCTGGGTCTTTGGGGACTCTGGTCTGAGGCGTGCACGCTAGGAATGGCTACACACCCTGATGAAGCCAGGACACAGCTCCTTGTCCAAAGATAGAGACATACTGGTTCAAGAGCAGAGCAAATAGAAGCTCACCTACTTTGGAGAGCACATGCTCCCACCTTCCTGGCCTCTGTAGAATCCATTCTATACTGCTCGTTTCATGAGTCATGAGAGGAAGGCAGAGGTTTTATGATGTGCTCTTCAGAGTTCAGACAAGTAAGGCAGAGGGAACACTGAGCTGACTTGACTATGAGCAGCCTACCTGGGGTGCAGATGCTAGACTTCACACCTTCTTTCTTACAGGTAGCACTGCTCAGAGCCCATGCTGGCGAACATCTGCTGCTCGGAGCCACCAAGAGGTCCATGGTGTTCAAGGATGTGCTTCTCCTAGGTGAGGAGGCTGCCCATCCCAGCCAGAGCTTGAGAAATGGAGTCTGGCTTGGTGCACCCATGAGGGAAGGGTATCTCCATAGTAACACACAAGGACCAGGCAGGCAGATCAAAACTATCCCAAACTGGATACACTCATCTAAGTTTGTAATCCCCGCTACTAAGGAAGCTGAGGCAAGAGATTTACAAGGTCAAGACATGCCCGAGTGCACTAAATAGTGCACTTACACCTGAGAAACATAACATAACCTTATTATCTTCAACTAAAATAACAAATGGTTTAAAAAGTCTAGTCACTATCAGTTGAGAGCACACTGGTAATACCCTGGGCTGGCGAGATGGCTCAGGTGGTAAATCTCTTGCCAAGACTTACACCTGACTTCAAGCTTAAGGACCCACGTGGTGAGAAGAGAGAACCAACGCCTGAGATTGTGCACTGACCTCTGAGAGCACATTGTGACACACAGACTACTCCCCAAAAATAAATAAATAAAATGCAATGTAAGAAAACATTTAAGAGGAGCCTGGAGGTGTAGCTCAGTGGCAGAGCACGTGGCCGGCCACGTCACTTCAACAAAATGAAAATGAGTGTAACCCAGCCCTGTTTGTAGACTTGACCAAAGTACAAGATTCTAGAATCCAGCTCTCAGATGGTTCCCCAATTCCGATGTAGGAATTACAGGAGCAAGGGAGGGGTTTTCCAGGCCTTCGAGTTAGAGAGCAGTCTGTTGTCCTCAGAATCTCCAGGACATTTCAAGGTTCTTTCAGGAGTTGAAACGAAAGGTGGCCAGGAATGATCCAGCCCCTCCTCCCAGCCCATGTCACCTGAGCCTTCAGGACACACTTATAATTTGGAACTTTTGTATAACATCTCCTAGATGCCAAGGACTCTGCAAACGGCCAAACAAATGTTTCATTACACCTCTTTGAATATACCACCCCCAGATATTTCTTAGATACTCCTATTTTTATAAGGAAATTGAGGGACAACAAGTCATATATGTCAACTAAACATGCCCAGCTAAGTGACAGAGCCATTCAGATGAAGTGACCCCATTCCAGAATGTGGCCATTGACCTTCATGCCTTTGTGCCTCCTAAGTAGGCCTTGGCTTTATTTCCTTCATCTTGAGTCGTGCAGGTAAAAGGAGTTTGGGAGACATGAAAGGCCAAGTCCTTAGCCCAGGACTCCAGGCAATCACCTTCCTCACACTTGCCTCAGACTTCTCATCTGTAAAACGGGCACACTGACCTAGTAACTCCCCCTCGTCAGTACCAGGCATGCTCTTAATTGCAAACTATAACCAGGGAGATAGGGGTCAACCGAGGTAATAATCCCATCCTCTCCCCTCTACCCATTCAGGCAATGACTACATCGTCCCTCGGCACTGTCCGGAGCTAGCGGAGATGAGCCGTGTGTCTGTCCGCATCCTTGATGAGCTGGTCCTGCCCTTCCAAGAGCTGCAGATAGACGACAACGAATATGCCTGCCTCAAAGCCATCATCTTCTTCGACCCAGGTATCATCCATACCTCCTAACCGGTCTTCCACACCCTCAGCCCTGCTGTCTCACTCCTGCTGGACTCACAGCCTCTCATGTTGTCATGACAACCAGAAGTACTTTTCATCAGCTCCATTGAGTAGACGAGGCAGACCAGGGTTCCCAGGGAGGAAGGACTTGACAGGACACCAACTACGAAGGCTTTTACTTTTCCCATCTTCCCTCTTGTCCATCATCCCGAGCATTCTTCCTCCCATCCTCCCGGGGCGCCATTATTGCGGCTTTCCCATCTCTGTTGTTTACCACTGAAACTCTTAGTGGTATTCTCCTCCAGTCAGCTATGGTCAGCATCTTCTGCTCTTCTCTTGAGGCTGGATCCCCTCCTTTATGGCTCTCCCTGTCCTCTTCCTGTTGACTGTGCTGACTCTCATCCGTGAGTTTTCACAGTATGTCTGTAGTCAAATCTTTGTGCAACACCTACTTTTATTTCTCGGTATCTGAGGCTCGCTGGTGCTCTTTTCCCTTCTGCCGTGTGGGCCTGTCAGGCGCGAGGCGCTGTCCTTGGTGCTGGCCCCTGATTTCTCAGTGATCAGCCTCCAGCATCAAAGCAGTCAAAAGGAACATGACTGCCACTTATTGAGGGCTTCCAGTTTTAAACACTTCGTGCAGATTATCTTAACATGTTACCTGTGAGATAGGAGCTGTCGTCACCCCATTTTCAAACAAGACGAAGGTGCAAAGAGACTAATTCAAACAAGGCCACACAACTAGGAACTAACAGAGCACAGATTTGAACTTCAGGCTGTTAATTGATATGTGTCTTTCCAACACATGGTCTTGCTTTCCTCTTGCAGAGAGTAAGGGTCTAGTTCTAGTCCTGCAGTGGAAAGCTTGGGGCTGAGCAGGTGGCTGTTGCTCAGCAACAGGTGTGACATCACTGGCACTAAGAGAGTCAGCAGCTTGGCCTACGGCAGGGGACCTAGTTGAGGCTGGTACAGAACAGGAACTCCATAATAGATGATTAACTATATGGGAAAAAAGGTGCGAAGTGTGAGTGAGGTGTCTTTCTGCTGGAGGAGCTGAAGCCTCAGCTGAGTCCCCAAGTGACAGGTGGCAGCAGGCAAGGGAGAGGGAATCTCTTGATGTGACAAGTACAGGGTCTAGATGGTGGGACCTTATCTGTGGGCTGGGAGCCCCAAGTTCACATCATGGATCTTCCAGCAACTGGTTCCGTGAGGTGCGCAAGCCTTCCTTATTCCCTCTGCCCAAGACAAGAAGCCAGGACTCTCAATAGCTGAGCTCTTGTCTACTGTATGCAAGGTGCTGCGGTTGATTCCTAGCACAGCATGAGAAAATATTTAAAAGAGAAATGAGATGCCAAGATGCTCTCCTGGGCTTTGTATCTTTCTCCGTCTGGTTCCAGGAAGACACTCTTTAGGTTCTAGTGTAAGCTGGCTATTGAGGACCATAAATTCTTGTCCCAGCTCTAGTTAAAGCTCCCTGGGTTTCAAGGTCAATAAGTCATCCAATCTGGGCCTACAAGTTAGGAGACACTTGGTCTTCCCTGACCACACCCCTCCCATTGCAGATGCCAAGGGGCTGAGCGACCCAGGCAAGATCAAGCGGCTGCGGTCGCAGGTGCAGGTGAGCCTAGAGGATTACATCAACGACCGGCAGTACGACTCTCGGGGCCGCTTTGGAGAGCTGCTGCTGCTGCTGCCCACCCTACAGAGCATCACGTGGCAGATGATCGAGCAGATTCAGTTCATCAAACTCTTCGGCATGGCCAAGATTGACAACCTGCTGCAGGAGATGCTGCTCGGAGGTCTGTAACACTGAGGGGGGATGCGCTTTGAAGACCTGGAGTGCCATGTGTCTTTGAGACCCAGGCTTCACCTGCGTCTGAGCTCAATGGCCTCTGGACTCCACTGCTTCCTCAGTGGGAGCCTTGGACGATCTTCCTTGTCTGTTGGACCTTGCTTTCTCGTCGGGAAAAGAAAAACTGGAGAAAAGGAAGAAGGTCTATTTGTTCAGATGATGAGGGTCTTCAATGAGTCATTCAGTCTCTGTTGTAAGGTGGGAATGATACCGTAGACAAAAACCAAGTAGATAATAAAAAAAAAAATTTAAATAGACAAGTCACACAGGAGCCTTTAGATGAGTCAACCAAGAGATGCATGCCTCCCTGAGGTGGTGCCTCTGATGGGCAAAAAAATGCTGTATTTTAAAATCTTGGAAAACATTCTAAGCATAGGTTGTTTTTTCTAGGTTCTGAGGTAAGGGAAGGGCGTGTGTGAGAAGCATGTTAGCTGGAGGAGATGCAGGTAAAAGTCTCTAGAAACCAAGTCCTAAACAAGACTTGATGGACCAGGGTCAAAACATTGAGTTTTTATCTAGGAGCAAACCTGAGCAGATTCTCAGCAACAGGGAGGCTGAGGCAGGAGGATCATGAGTTTGTGAGGCAGCCAGGGAAATATAGAGACACTTTGGAAGGAAAGAATGAGAGGAAGGAAGGAAAGTAGGAAGGAAGGGAGGAAGGAAAGAAGGGAAGGAGGGAGGGAAGAAGAAAGGGATGGAGGGAAGAAAGATAGGAAGGAAAAAGGAGGAAGTTGTATTTTATTCTCTCTGCCACTTTTGTAAAGAGTCTGAAAATTAAACTAAAGTTTTAAGTAGGCCGATCTAACTTAGGGGTCAATAATGAATTTCATAAAGCAAGGGGCAGAGAAAATCGCCAGGAAAATTACTCTATTGCATCGTCTGAGATTATGGTGGCTTAGACTGTGGGAACGGAGCAAGAGCAGGGAGAGAGAGGGGCAGGGAGGCTGTCTGGATGCAGCAGATGCTGAAGTGGGCAGTGGCAGAGATGACAAAGTAAAGGGTCAAGGCTGTGCTTGTGCTTTGAGCAGTGGAGGCAATGATGGAATCATTCACTGACAAGGAAAATGGAGAAATACTTAAGTCTGAGTCTGGGGTGCTGCTCAGATAATCCAGCTCCGTTTGGACTGACACAGCATGAGCATTGGAAATCCAAGCTGGGTTACCAAGACCATAAGTACATACATCGGATGGCCCAACAATAGAGGAAAAGCAGCCATGGGCTTTCTAGCATTTAAGAGTCAGAGGAAGATGTGTCAAGGAAGGCTTTAAAGGGGAAAAAAAAAAGACCAGCTAGGGGCATGGGAGAAAGGCAGGAAAGCCATAAAATACAAGAAAAACACATGTTTTCAGGAGGACAGAGCGAACAACGGTGTTAAATGGGGGAGGGGGGACAGATAAGAGAAAAGGAAGGAAATGGAGGGAAAGGGTGAGGGAAGGGATGGAGTAGGGAGGGAGGAGAGCTGCCGCATGCAGGCTCTTGGTCCTTTTGTTGAGAGCAGTATCAGAGGGCTCGGAGGATGGGAACTACATTGGGAGGGTATCACAGAGAGATGGGACAATGGGAAAGTGATGAGTCAGAGCCACGGCAGACAAGCCTCTTATAACTTTCTCCATGAAGGGGAGCTGGGTGGAGGGAGCTGAGGTTGGCTGTGAGACTTAACCACAGACCATGGCATCCTGGCTGAGCTAAAGAAAGACTAAAGACCCCTTAAAGAGAAATGGAGGGTCAGTTCTAACCCCCCTATAAATCTGAAGAACTCTTTCTGGGGTGGCGACAGTCAGCAGGAGAAGCTGGAACTGGGGGCTTCAGAAGTGTTGGGGTATCAGTGTCCCCAAGGTGGAAGCCAAGGCTGGCCGCCTCAGCAGCATTGGTTATCTGGGAGAGGTATAACTCCTTTTTGAGGGGAGATGTCCCAGGTGTTACTTAGCTGCATGCCTGTCCACTGCCCATGAGATACGAGTAGAGTTTCTCCAGGAATCACAATAAAAAATGTCTCCAGGAATTGTCAAATTCTCCCACAGTGAGAACCACTGTCAGGCAGTAACTCACCTCCTCCTCACAGCAACCCCGTGATTGCTGTGGGTCAGGTGTCATGGCTGTCAGGATCAGGAGTTGTGATCTGCTTTTCAACACATTTGGGTGAGATAACCTCCCTGGGTAATGCTGTCTCATTTGCAGAATGGATGGTAACGGTGTCCATCCTCCAGAACTAACAGAAGGGTATAATTTTGTACAGCGTAGAAAGTGCTTTAAGCCTGTACCCACATGTGAGAGGGGCCCAGCAATAAATGATCATCTTATTATACAACCAAAGACACCACTCTTTGTACTTAGACTTAGAAGTGCCTGTTTTCGTTTGAGTCGTGAAGCCCACAGACTCACCTGGTTATTTCTGCATTACTAACCCAGGAGCATCACCCAAGAGGCACTGTCAGTCCTGAGGAGCAGGCTGACTGCCACATTGGGGGAAATGGTACTTCAAGGCTGTGGTCCTTCTCCCAGACTTCCAATTCTGACTAATGCCCTCCTCTTTGTCTACAGGGTCTGCCAGTGATGCACCCCACGCCCACCACCCCCTGCACCCTCACCTGATGCAAGAACACATGGGCACCAATGTCATAGTTGCCAACACGATGCCCTCTCATCTCAGCAATGGACAGATGTGTGAGTGGCCCCGACCCAGGGGGCAGGCAGGTGGGCAGCCTGGGTCTACCCTACAAGGGGTAAAGGAGGGGGGGTCTAAGAAAGAAGGTAGGAGAAGATAGGGGAACCTAGAAGGGGGAACCAGGAACATAGTTCTTCGTGTTTCAGAGTAGGGAAATGAAGGGGGCGGGTTGTTGATGATCAAAGCTGTTGATTCAGCACGGCTCTGTCTTCTTTGAGGTGACTGACAATGTCTACTGTGTGAAACAATCCACCAGGTGGGGGGACCATTGGGAAAACATCTGTTGGCTGAGAATTCCATCTATTTGATGTTCATTGAAATAGGACTGGCCAGATGGGTGACGTTGTCCTTCAGGCAGTTGAATGAAACGGGCAACTAAGAAGGACTTAGCTCTTCAAAGAACAGGATCATTGATGAGATGGCCCCTGGGGTACAAGGGATTTCATTGAGTTTGGCTGTGGGAGAGCTGTCTACCAAATGAAAGCAGCCCGTTGGGTGGAAGTTACTCACCCAACTGTGATGAGAGGCCTTTGCCTTTGTGTTACTCTTCTGCTAAATATTGGAGAAAGGCCATGTTAGGCCCTGTTATCTCTGGACCTCACTCAGTTGCTGCCTTTTCTACCAAGGCGGAATATTTTTACACATATATTATTGCTTTGGGGAACAGTCACACCTGGACCCTGGTCTGGGAAAAGCAGCCTGAGTTTCCATGTTAAATGGTGGCCAGATGGGCAGTAGGGCCTCATGAAACATAGATCTTAGGATCTGGGACTCCTAGAAGTTTGAGCCATAATCACCTTAGAGGTTGGATTCAACATCTTATGTTATGGAATTACCTCAGCAGATGGAAGAGCCTTTGGTTATTCCCACAACGGCTGGATTTTTGAGTAACTTTTATGTCTTTCGCCCTTCAGCCACCCCCGAGACTCCACAGCCATCACCACCAAGTGGCTCAGGATCTGAATCCTACAAGCTCCTGCCAGGAGCCATCACCACCATAGTCAAGCCTCCCTCCGCCATCCCCCAGCCAACGATCACCAAGCAAGAAGCCATCTAGCAAGCCACTGGGGGTCGGGGCTCTGCTGGCTCATACCCTCAGAGAGCTCCTGGGTGTAACTTAGTATGGCAAAGAAGATGTGACAAGAGGGACCAGTCCCAGAGCAGCTATGGAAAGGGTGCATGGCCCAAAAAAAAGGTGTGCCGAGGGTCACATACACTGCCACCCCTGACCCCGCATCTGGAGGGCGGGGCTTTGCCTTGAGGAGACCCAGCGGGGAATGTCTCCCACTGCCTGGACTCCTCTCAAGTTGAAGCCGCTGTCTTTATCTTCCTCCATATCTTCTTCCCTCAACTTCTTCACCCTTGAAGGACGGCTGTCTGCAGATGCTGCAAGACCTTGTTTTTAAAACGACTCCCTTCTCTGCCAGCTGGGGCCTCTTCCTTCCTGGTGCTGGTCAGGGGGGCTGGAAACAAACCTTCTGAGGCTGGGTCAGCTTACATTATAGTATTCCTCTCCTGGTGAGCCAACCTCAGGTGATCGTTCTCTATCGTTACCCTCCTCCACCACCTGACTTCTCCAAAGCCATCTCTCTGGAGGCTGAGGAAGCCATGGCAACTGTTTCCCCATTCATTCTGAGAACCTACTGTAAGCACTGACCTGGGTGAGACAGAGGGTAGGGGTCGCCATCCCTCCTCTGCCAACGTCACTACGATTCTTGCCTCTAGCACTAGGCTGTAACTTTGGAGTGATAGGCCCGATGGAGAACCACCTAAGGGTGGCAACCACAACAGAATGTGGCGAGTGGATGGCCGTCATTGGGAAAGCATCTAGAAAGAGGCAAGCTTTGCACCTGTCCCTAGACAGGGAAGGTAGGCTTCTGGATAGCAGAGCAGGTAACACAGACCAGTTTATTGGAGGACAGCCCGAGCAAAAGCCCATAGGTAGGTAAAATAGTATGGGGGAGAGGGAATGAAGAAGTCAGTTCCCATGGAGTTGTGACAGGGCACACGCTAGGGTCCACTGAATGACAAACTGAGGTCAGGGGTAGGTGCAGTGTGGAGCTGTCAGAAGATGAATACGGCATCCTGAAGAGGTAGGATGTGAGGAGGCCATACTAGAGCCTGGGAATGCAATAAAGGGATGGATCAGAGTTCCCCCAGGGCTTGTCAAGCTCCTCCATACTTTCTGATGTCATAAGACAATAGAAATCCACCGTCTCACAGAACCTTCCCTGTAACCCAGACATTGTCATGGAAGATATAAGTAGAGGGTCTTAACTGCCTCACAGGTAGCACTTGTTTCCCCTGGCATGGAATCCAGAGAGTTCCTCGTCCTTTACCCGTGTCAAATCAAATCCCGAGGCTTGCTCGCTCCAGAAATGGCCAGCTAAGAGACTGTTCTAAAGTCCACTGGAAGTTAAGAATCCCATTCACTGATAATAGTAAAGTCGATCCATGACTCCTGTCCTTTTTTTCCGCTGATCGACCCAAGTGTGGGTGAGGAGCAGCAGGCGTGGTTCCTGGAAGAGGGACCAGTCTAGTCTGGCAGTCAGGGCTGAGAGAGTTTGGGTGAGGGGCAGGAGAAGAACAAGAAAGCCTGGGTTTCAGCCTCACCTGAGGAGCTACATTCAAGGTACATTCTGAAGCTGCTCATCACCAGCAGTCAACACTCTGCTCCTGGCTGACTCTTGATGGCTTTGTGGAGCCCTTACAAAGTGCCACTGACCAATGGGAACAAGAAAAATGTCCCCTGGGCCTGTTGGTGTGCTAAGTGGAAGGAATGAGCTGTGAGACTGGAGAGTTATGGTCTATCCTACTGAGTGGGTGGGGCTAGCACCCAGTGTCCATCAAGGCTGATCCTTCTGGGTGGATGGGGCTAGCACTCCAGTGTCCAGAAATTCCAGCCTGAATGACAGGTCCTCTGAAAAAGAGGTGCGGAGGAGGAATGGGGCCAGCTGCTTAAAGAAAAAGAACACCCACAGGCCAGGACTGTCAGGACAGCTTGAGTTAACCCCTCAAGCCAAGTCCTGGGTGTCAGGAGGAGCTTTTCCATGCTCAGAGCCCTCAAGATTCCTTGGCCACTCTCACTCCAGTGCCCCCAGAGACCCAGCCAGATCGCTCAGATTGCCCTGCATGAAGGCAGGACAGCTGGACTCCCTCTAGTCCATGTCTTTCCCACTCTTTGTCCCTCCATCCCCAGTGTCGTCATGAGAGGAGTAGGTAATGTTGGCCTTCAGTGGTAGCAGTCTTCTGGGGCAGGGGTCAGCCGCTGCCCCAATCTGATTTCTGAAGGAGAAACCCATTCCACATTAATAACTTTATTACAATACAGGAAACATGAAATAAAGGAAAGTTTACTCTTCTGATTATAAGCTGAGGATACTATGTTGCAGTTTTTTTTTCTTCTGAGCTTTGTTTCTAATACATGATATGACAGGACTAAGTACCAGCTGATAGTGGACAGGGGTGGGCGCCACAGTTTTTCCCCAAGGGCAGCCTGTTTCTTCAAGGAGTTCTCAGAAGCTTTCAGGGTTCAGGAGGCTTCCCTGAGAGTAGACAGGAGAGGATTAGAAGTGGGCATCCTCAGTTCCTTGTGATAACCACACCATTTGCCTTTGCTAGAACTCTCTGTGACCTACCCTGGTAAATTCAAATCATGAACTTCACCCCAAACATTCAGAAGTAGGCTGAGTCCTGTCAGATTAATCTGCACCTTCCTGTGGTTGTGCAAACATCACGCGGTCCTACACTGATCCCCAAGTCCCCATCATCACTGCCTAAGGGGTTAAAAAGAAAAAAAAAAACCTCAAAAACCGTTCTTACTCCTGTGTTTTAGCAAAAATTTATCAACAAAATAAATGGTACATATGTTTTCTAAGTCCTTTTACTGGTGTCTTTTTCCACGTAGTATTCTTGGGCATTCGTGGTGGACAAGAATCCTTCCTTTTTAATAATCTTTCCTATCAAGAAGTTATGGATAATCTCCTTCATATAGATGGGGAAACTAAGGCTCAGAAAGGTGATTTTCTGTGAAAGTCAGAGGTAGAAATCCAATCCTCAGCCGGGCGGTGGTGGCGCACGCCTTTAATCCCAGCACTTGGGAGGCAAAGGCAGGCGGATTTCTGAGTTCGAGGCCAGCCTGGTCTACAGAGTGAGTTCCAGGACAGCCAGGGCTATACAGAGAAACCCTGTCTCAAAAAAAAAAAACAAAAAAAAAAAAAAAAAGAAAGAAATCCAATCCTCCATCCTGCCCCCACCTCATGTGTGTGTGCGTGCCTGTATTTGCATGTAGAAGCTGCATATGTACATGAATGTGTGTGGTCATGCCCAGGAAGGACATGTGTTGTTTCAAGGACAGCACCCACCTTGTTTCTAGAGACAAGAAGAGAGACAAGGTCTCTCGCTGGCATGGAACTCAGGCTACTAGTGGCCTGAAAACCCTAAGGATCCACTTGTCTTCATCACTGGGATTTAAAGCATTTTCCAGGGGCTAGGGAGATGGCTCATCGGTAAAGAGCATTGCTTGCTCTTCCAGAGGATCAGGGTTCAAGTCCTGGCACCCACATGGTAGCTCACAACCATCTGTAGCTCCAGGTCCAGGGAATCTGACTCCCTCTTCTAGCCTCCAAAGGCACCAGACACAAATGCTGGCAGAAGCATGAATGCAGGGGACACAGTGCTTATAAGATAAGTACTTTACCAACTGATCCATTTCCCAAGCCCCAACCCTGGCTTCTTGACTCTAAGCATCAGGTTTATGGGGAGAGTGAAAGGATTCTCCCTCCTAAGAGGGAAGTGATGAGGGAGAGGGTAATGGAGAGATTTTTAAGAATAGACAGAGGTTCAAAGATGGAGCTCTGTTTTGGGCCACTTCAACCTTTTGGAAACATGAACACCAAGATGTCCTAAGAGCAAGAATAATCAAGTGACGAGTGTGAGGCTTTCCAGCCAGTGGTCCTTTCCCCTTAGGTAGCTGGCCTGATGTCTTGACACTGTAGGTCACATCCTCACATTGGAGGGTGTGGGGGGGTGTAGCCAGCATGTGAAAATGAGATGTCAACTTCTCTGCCCAGATGTTTTCCTAATACTGTGTTAGCGTCTTAAAAGATTGGGGGCATCTCACCATTGATATTCACTGATGGGACAAGTCTGCATTGATTCTTAAGAAACGCTCATTAACCCAGCAGCATCCAGGGGAAGATGGGACGTTGTAATGCCCAGCTACAGTGACACTTGTAGCCCTCCTAAGGAGTCCACAACCACTTCAGTTTGTGAATCACACACAGTGTAGGGTCAGTCACTCCACTTCTGCAAGCCCCAGCTGCAAGAAGGGAATGGTGTCATGAGGGATACTGATCTCACACAGGTTTCTGCAGGAGAGACTAACCACTCCATTTTCTGTCTTCAAGAGCACCCATTAACTGTCCTTCCTGGGCCTTGGGGCCACTCCTGCCTCCCTGTCCATTCCCTCAGTCGGTGAGCACCAGGAAATGTTTTCACGATGTTGCAATAAGCCCTGTCTCCACTCCTGCCAACACGGTTGTGGGGGCGGGGGCTGGAGGAGAACATTCGGCCCTAAATTGTACTTAATAAGTCCATATCAAAACCATAAACCTCGGACTGCCATAAATCCCCCGACCTTGGTTCCTCCACCTCACCTGCCCTTTGCCCTCCAGTCTCAGTGTAGGCCGCCAGAGCCTCGAATCCGGTTCTCATTTCAGCTACTAAACAACCAGAGCCAAGATGACTAACAGTACTACCCTCATTTAGACAGGGTGAAAAGAAAGAGAGAAAATGGAGGCACCCAAGGGTCTGGCTAAGAACTGGAGCTTCTTATCCCAGCGGGGCCGCAGTACTCACAGTAAAACCAGAAGAAACACCAGTTGGCAGGCAGCTTCAAGGGCCAAAGAAAGTCACAAGTAGCATGAATGACCTGCCACCCCAAATAGATGAGATTGCCACCTTCTTCAGTTTTGGAGCCCAGATCACCTTTGATTGATACTTCTCCAGTCTGCATATCCTATGTAAAGTCCAAGATGAGATCTATGGGAACCAAGGTCCCAGAATCCCTTGCAGCTGTTTAATGATGAAGTGGAATCACGATGTCCAGTACAATGAGTCTAGGTGCTTTCTCTTTGCCTAGCTTGCTGGACATAATGAAATTCCACCAGTCTCTGGGACAACTATTATTCTGTCCTATAAGTGAGGGAACGTGTTTAAGGGGAGAAAGGGACTTGCCAAAGGTCCTTAGCTGGTGTGACAGCTGATCAGGTGCCCATTGTCTGACTCCAAAGGCCACCAGGAGGACACTGGGGAGCCATGGATGACTCAATCATTATGTCGTGGGCACAGTAGGGAGAATGCTGAAAGGTGACAAAGATCAATGGGCAAAGACCCAGCACGAAGCATCCTGGGATTACAGAGAAGCCACACCACGTGACACCTCCCTCTCTCCCAGAGCTCATCCATTCACACGTACAGAGAAAAGCAATGCATAGCTCACTATGAAGAGCCGAGGAGGGCGGTGAGGCGGAAGGGAGGCTGCTGACATCCAGGAAAGGGAGTATCCTGCTGAAGGAAAATGATTCAGAGGCAGTACACATGAGGTGAAGTTGAAGTCAGAAGCCGCAGAGGAACACAGATGGGAGGAGGTCAGAATTCGCAGCCCAGCCCAGCACAGGCCACCTGGACCTTCTCCATCCCCCAACCTTCTCTTCTCTTCAATCGTTCACAAACCGTTCCCTTCAGACTCAGAGCCGCTGACATAAACAGGAAAGCTGTAAACAGGAAGTGACTGTGAAATAAAAGTGCAAAGATCATTAATTTTAAGCTGTAGCCCAACAGAAATGGCTAGGAAAAGCTCGGCTTTCGTTTCTTTTTCCTTTTGTGTGTTTCCTTGGTATGGTTTGGTTAGTTTTTGAGACACTGTCTCCTGAGTGAAGACTGAGAGTCTGAGTTAGCCTCCAACTCTCAATCTCCCTGCCCCAGAATTCCAAGTACTGGCATTCTAGAGGTGTGTTGTCATACCAGTGTCTCTAGCTGTCCCTCCCTTCTTCCCTCCCTCCCTCCCTCCCTCCCTCCCTCCCTCCCTCCCTTCCTCCCTTTCCTCTCTCCCTCTTTCTTCCTCCCCTCCTCCCTCCCTCTTCCTTCCTTCTTCCTTCCTTCCTTTCCTTTGTTGTTTGGAAACTTAATGCAGAGTGCAGTACCATATGCACATCTCTAGCTCCATCTGTACAGAAGACTGAGGCAGGAGAATGACTTAAGCCCACAAGTTTTCAGCAAGCCTGGGCAACATGGCAGGACGTCCTCTCAAAAGTAAAGTGTGAGACAGGTGGGTACTACAAAAATGTTAAAGACATCTCACCCAATGGGGGAATTTTTCCTTGAAGTTTTCAGAAGGAAAGACCAGGAAAGAGGCAGACTGGGGGTAGGGGGAGGGGTGCCATGTCACCTAATGCCACTATACATCTGTTAAATCTCCCAGCATCCCACAGTAGCCCTCAGCTCACATCCAGAAGCATGCTTGCTGGTCTGCTCACAAGTGGTGGGGTCTCAAATGCTGGGCAGGGGATCTGGAATCTGCCAGGGACGTGATTACACACTAGTGGTTTCAAAGCAGGGAGGACTGCGGCCAGTGTGTGCGTTTGAAAGGTCACTGTGGCTACAGTGTGCAGGGTGAGGTGTGGGCTCTGCTACCACAGTGGGAAGACTAGAGAACGATGAGAAGTGTCTGTGCCACGGTGGCTTCAGAAGAGAGAACACAGCCGAAAGGTTTGGACTCAGAGGTTGCCTAAGATGTGCTGGGCGCTTTTCCGAATCTTATGGACAGGACCAGAGCAGCCAGGCTTTCTAGAGCCTTGGAAAGGACTGGGAGTCTATCTGCAGTGTAGTTGTGAAATGAGAAATCCAGACGTTCTAGAAAAGGCAGTGATTGAACTTGCTTCATCTTTTTTTGTCTTTCTTTCTTTCTCTCTCCCTTTTTAGTCTATTATTTTATTTTTCAAGGGGCTCACTATGTAGACTGGAACTTGCTATGTAAGCTAGGCTGGCTTTGAACTCACAGAGATCTGACTGCCTCTGCCATCTTAGTGCTGGGATTGAAGGCTCCACTACCACAGCATCTCTTTTATTTTTTTAAATGACATTTATTTATTTATTTATTTATTTATTTATTTATTTATTTATATGGCTGCGTGCATTTGTGACTGCGCAGGCTCATAGCACGGCATACATATGAAAGTCAGAGTATAATTTGCTAGAGTCGGTTATTTCTTTCCATCAAGTTGGTTCCAGGGATTGAACTCAGGTCACCAAGTTTAGCAGCAAGTCCCTTTACCCGTGGAGCTATCTTACAGCACCACAACACGCCCTGGTCAGACTGGGTCTCATATAGCCCAGATTGGCTTTGAATTTGCTATTAGCCGAAGATAACTTTGAGTTTTTGACCCTCCTGCCTCTACCTCTGGGTGCTGAAATTACAGGCAGGAGCCACCAAGCCTTGTTTTCTTTTGTGCCAGCAACTGAACCCAGAGCCTCAGATACACACTCTACCAACAGAGGTACATACCAAGGCCCTGCTTCATGTGCTTAAAAGACCCCTTCTGCTGTGTGGAGAACAGGCTGTGTGACAGACACCTCGTGGAAGCTGTGAGTTTAGGGGTGGAAAAGGTGAGGGACAGGCGTGTGGTCTGGGATGGGAGCAGTTAGAATTCTAAAACAGGCTCCAGGATTTCTCTCCCATTGTTTCTCGGTAGTCAGTCTATCACCCGCTTACCTGCTACAAGAAGACTTTTTTTTTTTTTAATGTTTTTAAAAGCCAGCCTTTACCTGCTACAAGAAGACTTTTTTTTTTTTTTAATGTTTTTAAAAGCCAGTCGT